TTGTAATTACTTGAAGATGATGAGGGTGAGAGAGTAAATATGTTATTTTCGAAACCAAAAAAAAAAAAAAATTTGATGGCATTTTCGTGAATTATATGAACTTGTGGGGTGAATTGGGCAAAATAAAGTTCCAAAAAAAAGGGAGGTTAGTTTTGTGGTTGACTTCAAGTTTCAGGTCAATTCTGCAAAAAGCCCTATTGTTTTTTAATTTATTTATCTCCTGTCGAAGGGTTCAAAAACAGAATAGGTGGCACACATGAATCAAAAAAGACTATTAAACAAATAATTCGAAAGCGACAAAGGGAGAAGTATTAAAAATGTTGTTTCTTACAGAACATTTGTTCGAAGTAATTAATTCGAGAGAGGATTTGCTTCGGAGGTTGATCAGACGGAATGAGTATCTTAAGTATGTGGAAGCTTTTTTTTTTTTTGTCCGCATGTGGAAGCTAGATTAGGGGATAGGGTGTTTTTTGCAGATGAGATATTGAAAGATAGGTTTTGCTTGAATTCAATGAAAGCCAAGATTTGTTGGTAATTATGGTGAACGGTTGCAACTTTAGTCTTGGACCCTTGGTGCTGCTCGTGTTGAGGATTGATTTCAAGTTGTTTTCTTTTAACACAGTTTTTCTTTCCATGCATCAAACCTTAACTTTTGAGAATACAAACGGAAAAGAGAATTTTACATCCTCTATGATAAATAAAGATAAAATGCAATAGCAAAAGAGGTGAAATAGAAAAGTGCTTTTTTCTTTTGTTAAAATTGCAAACCAAGAAACGTCGTTTAGGTAGATTGAGTCTAGATCGTTTTAGTTGAGAAGTTATAGGTCCTATAAAGTAGATTGAGACGAAATCCAAAGTTCGTGTGTAATTGTTATACAATAATTTTAATGGAGAAAATATGTTTTCCCGAAATTATGTGAAATTAAAAGTTATAAGACTTTTAAAGTTTTGAATTAACAGCGAGTAGTTTGATGTATAATACCGAACACACTAGAAGAAAGTAATCAAAACGGAGGACTTTTAAGAGCATGTATATTGAGGGTTCATAAGAGGTTTATATGGGAGTTCACACAGTTTTCTAAATGAACAGTGATGAACTTCTTTCTCCAAAAGTTCATCCCGGTGAATCCCAAGAGGGTGGAGTTCACCACGTGTCAGAACGGAATTGGTTCAATTAATTTTTATTTTCTTTTTTTTTTAAAAAAAATCTAAAACAAAAAAAATAAAATATTACAAAAATGAACCCCAAAAGGAGTTCATTGATGTACATGCTCTAAAATAACACTCTTACCACACTCAGAAAACATCAATGTACATGTCTTCTTTTAAAACACACATTTGAAAATCACAATTGTGAACAATACAATATCATTAGCCACACTTCATGCATTTGTCATTTTGTCTTGAAAAGAGTTGAGAAAAGCTTACAACAAATAGTGTTAAAGATTGGCTCTCTATCCTTTGTCCGACTAAGCCTTGAGTTTCGGTTAATTAATGTTTAAGACTTTATAAATCTCGAGGCCGTTGATAAGAGGAGGAAGAGTTGAATTACCGGTCATAGTGAAAGTGAAACTGAATGTCCCATCAGGAGAACTCAGAGCTGTTGGACTAAATACAGTTGTTAGGCCAAGTTTTGATGGTCTAAAGAAGGGGAACCAAGGTAAGCCATTGAAATTAATGTTGAACTCTCTAATCTCGTTAGCTTCAAGATTCTGTATTTCAGCGAAATGCATGTATACATATGACTGCGCAGTGATTTCGCCGAGAGTCCAACGTATGTTCAGAGGCTCAGTAGGGTCTGCAGGGGTCATAGCGGTTTTTGCTACGAGTTGAGGCACATCGTAGGAGTTAGTTGTAGCCACGGGAAGGTCTGTGCTAATAGACGTCGTATTTTCTTTAATGAACGGCCACCAGACTCGGTCATGGATGTCCTCGTCGTACCTATACATCGAGCGAGAGAGAGGCTCTTTCGATATTTTAAACACAAAAAAAAAACATAACAGCACTACAAAACAGGGTCGAAATATTATAATCCAATACCAAAAAAAAAAATTGTTCTACTCATTAGTTTTGTTTATAAATTAAAGAGCACAAGCCAGTAAACAGGTTTTAATGTACTCTAACCAAGTTAAACCAAATAAACCAATAACTGCAAATCAGAAAAATAACGTAAAATGGATTGACCTCCTCAAAGGTCAACCACTTGACGAATGTTTAAATCGTCGTCTATACTATTATTTGCGAAGTGATTTTTCGCAACGGAACTTTCACGTTAAAAGTTAGAGCGGTTAATATCGATATTACCCTTAATGAATAAATATATAAATCAGTCAATAATAAAAACGAATTTATTATTTATTTGATTAGATAAATGATTTAAATTAATAATAATGATAAGAATTATCCATAATCTAAATATATATTTAAAAATAAAAAGATAATTCCTATATATATTGTGTTGTTATCCAGAAAATATATTTAATAAAAAAATTCAAAAACATAAAACACATAAATAAATATTAATTAAGTAAAAACTTTAATTGTATATAATTGAAAATAAAAAAATTTAAAAAATTATAATACGTATAATATAATGATATATATATTTGTGAAGTTATTTTCGCCTCTGAGCTCACATGTTAAATTAAATTTATTTTTATATTTTTATATATAAGTAATCCTTAAACATGAATTTATCATAATAAAAAAAATCATTCAAAACAAAAAAACGTGTTTGGCAAAATTAAATTTTAATTGTATTATTATCTAAACTAATATTATTCTTTTTGTAAGATCAATTTTTGAATGTATATTTATCGATTCAATTTTTCAAATTGAAAGATATTTCTATATTTTTATTAATTAAGAAGAAAGGAAATAGACTTTAGATTTTTTAAAGTTTAAAAGGAAGAAGTATATATTTTTTTTAATTTGTGAATAAATTTATCATGTAAAAAAAATTAATGTTTTAGGTTAAATTTTTTGGATGCAAATATCATTTATTTTGATGATTTTTAAATAGATTTAAAGATAATTAAGCCCGCATGTGCGGGCAAAACACCTAGTTTTTCAATTATTTTCCTATCAATATATATTTATCTAATCATAATTTAATCAAAGCGAAGCAGATAGTTCTATTTATTCGTTTTGTAATATTTTAGTCGTTCTGATTTATATAAAACCAATAAAACCGTAAATAGAAATGCTAAACCGAGGCATACAGTAAACCGGATTGACCTCGAAAGAAAGCAAAGAACAAGGATAAACCGTTCTTGGAAATATTCCGTTACCTGATGAACGATGGAGTGGGTGAAAAGTAAAGTCTGGCCACTAACATCAACGATCCGCTTTGACTCACGTAAGTAACATTACTATCCAAGGGGCGAAGTTCCAAGGACGAAATAAACGGTGTCGTTTCTCCTGTTTTGACAAGACAGATTTGGAGACGGTCTTGTTTTAAGACATGGATGATCTCGTCCATAAAAGCATTGCCCCCTTCTGGAAGTGAAACAGATGTCCATTTGGTCTGACCAATGTAAAGATCAAAGCTCGGGAGTATATTCAGACCGTCGTAGTTCCCATACAGAAAGAATCCTCTGATCAGGTACCTCCGGTTCTTTGTGAGGTTGAAGTTGTAACAGTTTCGTTGACCATCAGGGAAACTTCTTAAGTTCCAAAGCTGTTGTTGAAATTCTGTCCTTAACGTTACATTGATCCTCCTGGCCACTCCACTGTCAATGTGAGTCCCGTCTGATACGTATGTTATGTTCGTCGTCCTTTCAACATAGGTTGTGTCCTCTGGGACCAACCCACAATCCAAGCTGATGAATCCTGTTCATTAAATTTTTATCATACTTGTTAGTGGGTACTTGGAGAACAAGATAGGGCTATCAAATTCCTGAAGTCTAAGTCAAACTCATCTGTAAGTATTTGAAATGAATATCTTCTGGATCTTCAATATACAAAGATAATTTTTATTTTGTGATATCCTTCTGTGCCAGAGGTAGATAAACTAAATTAGGAAATAATTTTAAATTACATTATGTTAGTGTTAGGTCAGGCTGTTCATGTGTCTAATAAGACTCTGTTCGGATTTTATGGGGTTTTAGTTTTTTCTTTTTTTCTTTCTTTTTGCGGCATGAAATTTATCTTCATTCCAATAGTTTTAAAATTGGGAAATTAGGTGAAATAGCCATGAAAAAAAACTAAATTAAGTAACTAACTAAAATCTCCTCTTCTCTCTTCATTTCTCTCCCTATCTATCTCTACTCTCTCACTAGAAAACTAATTTTCCTTTTTTTGGTTATTTGGCAAATAAACCCTTTAAAATTCATTTCAAATTCGATTTGATTTCCTCAGGTAATTTTTATATATAGTAAAATCTCATAAACTCCGTTGAACCCGTAATAAATAAAGTTCTAGTTCTAATTTGAGTCTCAGTCACTCAAATACTTGTTTTGACTCGAAAGTCCCCACTTCAGTTCACAATTTTTTTCAAAATATTTGCACCAACAAACACTTGATGACATGATTTCAGAAGTGATAGTTGAAAGGAAGGAAACATAAACATGTTAAAATTAAGAACTTATCAACATTTTTTTTTTTGTAACAAGAACTTATCAACATAAAAAATATTCTTTCAACTTCAAAAATAATGTTATACTGTTTAAATTTCATAAACAAAAGTATTCATAATCAAATATAAAATGATATTATCAAAAAATAAACCTCAATATTTGACCAATACCAAAATAGTTAATTATTCTTGTAATAGATATTTATTTAGGTACTCATTATTATTTTTGAATTTTTTGGTAATTATTCGGGATCAAATTCATATTTAGTATATTTGCTTTTTTTTTTGGAGCTTTTCAGTTTTTCAGGAATGTGCTCGGGTTCAGATTCGGTTTGAATACAACCGAAAACCTAAAATACAGTGAGAATTACGTGTCTGAGTATTTATGTTGGATTTGTTTGCTTCATATTCATTTTTAAATTGATTCAGTTCAGGTATTTGATATCGTCTTATTTGTCCATGATATGCTCAAATTAACCTTCAAGCTACTCTCTCAAATAAGAGGTTCAATGTAGTACTTGAGGATCGAATCCACAGAGACCAAATATTACACTTTATTTTTATAGGATCAGAATTAAGCTAAAACAATATGGGGTTTTAAAATAAAGAAAACGTAAAAAGCAAGTAACAAGTTGGTTTGGTTTCAGATTATAAAAGAG